AGTAAATGCAAGCTATGAATATATTTTGCAGCGTAAACAGGGTGGTGATAAGCTAGTGTGTTGGTCTGTTTGACTCTTTCAGAGCACAGCAGGGGCAGAGCAGGGCTGCCTCCTTCCTGACCTTTTGTAATTGTTCTTTACTGCAGTTAGAATTTGTATCTTTGTAGCATTTAGTGTAAACATATAGGTTTCTAAGTGTTTTATTAACTATATAAATGGAGACCTTGCTGCAATTAAGCTTAACAATTAGAGGACAGCAGCTGAAAAGTGACCTGCACGCAGTACACTACAACACCATAGTTAAGCATTTTTGGGGAAAGTCACAAGAACAATTATACTCTTGCAAAAGGCTCCAGAATATTTAATGTCTGTAAAAAATAGACATTGTTTACGAAGATATCATCTTAAAATTCCACATACATGTGCTTGCTGTGTTTGTACATGCTAACTCCTGTATGCAAGCTCTCAGTTGGTATCTGGATTCTCCACAGACAGTCTTATATTGCAGATTTACTGACAAAGGTGTTCTTTTTTTCTTTCAGAGAGATTGGTTCAATTGTCAGGTCACTGGGTTGCTTCCCAACTGAGGCAGAAGTACAGGAACTGCTTGCACAGGTAACTGTTTAGATCTTTTGTATTTTTTTTTCAATCTCAAACTTGCTCAAGTTTGGCCCTTCTGCCTTGCTGAGTGGGAAACCTAAGCTCTTTTCCCAGAGCTCGGAAGTGTCATGGTAGTGATTCAGACCGGCAGTCTCTCAGGTTGACCTGAAGTTTGCCTTTAGGCTGGTGAGATAACAATAACTGATGGGTTAAACTGAGGAGTTTTTGGCTGTCTTTTACCCCACTGTGACACTGTGCCAGGGTGGAGGGGTGTTTATAGAAAATGGAGGAGGAATTGGTTTTGGCTGATGAAAATGAATGTCCTAAACCTCAGTTGGATTAGGGTATCCAAACCCTAACCATCTCACTTTTCTGACATGTCACGGGCACACGCTGATGATTAAGTAATAAAAAATTGTTCTTGAGCAGGTGTTAAAATTATATGTCAAATTCCAAAAATACAGAGAGGGAAGACCTGCTGTGTGTTTTCACTGCGTCCTGTTATTGCTATCTTATAGCTACACCTCTCAACTTTCTGTCCTTCCTGAGGTCTCTCCTGGTCTTGAGATTTCTTAGTTATGGATAAGTAATCTTTTCTTACTTGATTACTTAAGTTCGTAAGTCAGAATTCAGACAAAAAACCTTGCAAGACCTAGCAGTCCTCCCGTTCTCCCAGTGATATGGAGCTTCAGTCACGTTTCTCTGCAGTTTCTTCCTACATTAATTTTTGTCTCCTTACCTGATGCATGTAATAGAAAGGATGATGTGCTGGTGCCTTGGCAGGTTATGATTAATATATGGGACAAAGAAGTGGGAAAAAGACTTCACATTCTTTCTGCAAATGGATATGCTGCCTTAAGGAATGGAAGATGCTGGGGCTGCAAAGTGGAGGAAGGATTTTGCTCTTTTTCATGTATAGGTCATGATACTGAGTATTGATCTCTCTTTTCTTCCTGTCCCCAACAAAAATTTGCATGGTTGCAGTAGTAGTCTCTCCTCAGTAGCTCTGTTTGGTCTCCTGTAGATTGGAATTTAGTGTGAGAAATCTTGTGCTAAGTCTTGTGAAAATGATGCAGCTGCTTCAGATGAGGAAGTGCAAAGAACCATCAGAGGAGAAGGATCTTTTAACATAATACTGCAATCTGTCTGCACTGGTTCTGTACTCTCAGTACCAGATTGTCCCAGCTCCCACTGACAAACAAGAAAAAATGGAAAGAGAAATTATGGTGCTTAATATAGATGATATTTTTAGTGGCCCATGGAGATTTTTGATTGCAGCAAGTGATCAGTGCAACTGACTCAAGATACAGAATTGAGAAAAGGAAGGGGATGCTTTGACACCTGCCCTGAGTCCAGGGGAACCCGGAGAGTTTAAGGCCTGCCTCGCCCTCCCAAAGAGATGTTTGTTTGTTTGTTTTTTCTCCAATTTTTAGCATTACTGTAAATTTGAGATAAGTAATACAGAACAAAGTACAATGCAATGCAGCTACAAGGTGGAATATTCTTGAGATACAATAGTATAACATTTAAGCAATTGTTGATTATAAGAATATTAAATTAAAGTACAAATACTGCAAGAAGAAAGAATCCATTCAAGAGTAATGGTTAACCTTAACTGGAAGTTAAATCTCAAAGAAGGTTTCATGATGTCTGTAAATGAAACCTTGGCATAGAGTTAGTACCAGAAGAACACCTCCTTGCAGAACTCTTAATGTAGTATGTCAATCAGGAATATATCCTAATTTGTATAAGATACCATTACTATTGACTGTGTTAATACCATTTTATCTTAATCTAGATAAAGTAAAAACTGTCTCTGTTGGCTCATTTGTAACCAAGCTATGTCCCTAGTATTTTTGCCCATTGTAAGCTGTGATTCATTTCTCTTTCTCACTCCTTGTGTCTCTCAGTCATCTCTGTTCCTATTAGCCTTATTGTAGCTAAACTAGCGTATGTTGCCTTCAAACATTTCTGCCAAATATCTTCAAATATCTGCCAAATCAGCATTTATATAACGATTTTATCTCTAAAAATTATCATATACTTTTTCCTATATTGCCTTAAGCTAAATGCTGTATTTAGTATCATACCTTTAGGCCTACTTACAAAGTTAAGGTTAAATGGTAAGCCTAGAGATGGTGAAAGCTAATCTGAGGCTTACTACAATGTCTGGAGTTTGAAATCCCAGGTTCAGCGCACTGCTCTGCTACATATCACCTAGATAACTCTGGAAGATTGTTTTGTTTCTTTGTGAGTCAAGTCCCCAAATGTTATGTGGACAGTAATAGTATGGCTGTGAGAGCAGAGTTACGAAACATAGTGAGTGCTACAGTACAGTTGTTATGGGAGCTGCGGCTGTACCCAAAGGAAAGAGAGAGAGCAAAACTCATTTGAACAAGGAAATACTGGTATTGTCAAAGCCACTGTGAAAAGGGGAGAAATTACAGAAGAAGGAAAGCATCAATAGGAAATGAGGTATAGAATAGAATTGAGCATGAGGAAGAGTAGGAGGATAGATATATCTGTAAATCTGAATACTTAACTGACTCAGGCTAGGTTAATATATTCGATTTACTCACATACCTATCCAATGTTAGAAATAGGATTAATTTTAACAGTTTGAGATATTGCTAGGCTTGTAGAGCCACTGAAATGGAAGCTGTCCTTTCCAGGTCAGAGGAAGCTGAGTTTGCTCCTCACCTCCCAGGACTAGGTCCATTGTCAGGCAGGACATAGTTCTTCCACAGAATGCTTTCTGAAGGCAAAATACAAATAGCACACCAGCAAAAAAGGGGCAAATCTGGGTGGTATTTGTCAGCGAGGGCTGACATTTTCACAGGTATTTGTTACATTGAGCTCTGAAGTGGTTATTGCCGGTGAGTTCTTCTGGTATGAAAATTAGGATGACCTTCAAGTGTTTGGATGAGCAGATCTAATGTTTTTTGGCTCTCAAACATGGTTTATTCAATTTACCATCTTCATGGATGTTTTGAGTCCTTGCTTTTGGTTGTTCTGCTTAATATGACACATCTATCTATTTCTGATGAATAGCTACCTTATTTCTTTTTCTGTCTCTGTGGACTTCTGACCTAATACTAGTTGAAGCACAGATATTCCCTAAAACATCCTGTGTACTTAACGCATCTCAATATTTGTGACACATGGAATAGTTCAGTGTATTCACGAACTGTTGTGTCACTGGAAAGAAGTTAAGTTTTGCCAGGTATTTTGTTACATCTTCTCAATCAAGCAAGGAGTAAAACAGATGATTCTGTAATGGTAAAAGGTACCATTTGCTTTAGCATGAAGCATGCAACAGCTTCATTTCCTTGCTAAAGATCCTTTCCGCTAGGCTCACCAAACAGAAAGGAAAAAGTGCTTTTTCAAGCCAATTTCCACTCTAAAGCAGCAAGAAGTGATGGCTGCCTGCTTTTAGCAACCAAAACCCTTCAGGAGTACTGGAAAAGAGGATGCAGCAGCAGTTGCAGCTCTCCATTTAAGCAACTGGATGTATCAGGCATCACGCCAACTCTGACCCAGCTCCCAAGGGGAAGATTTCTTACTTTGTCTTTTCCTGGCTCAGTTAGGAGATTTCAAATCAGTGCCTATTTGAGTCTTCTTTCAATCAGAGCTGTGTCTTGGGAGAGCCTAGCAAGGTGTTGCTGCTGCCATGTGAGACCACAAGGCATGCATCCAGTTTCAACAAAGACAGGAGCAGGCTAGCTCCATTAAGAATGGTCCTTTGGGAGTAAAACTTGAAATTTTCAGGGAAGGAATGCACCCCAATGGTGGGGAGCAGTTTTTGCCACATTGCTCATCTCCTGTGGAAATATAGGAATGCAGTGAGAGTGCTGCTAGAAGTCCCTGGTGTTTTGGGACTACTCTGTTAATTCTTTTGGGAGGGAAAGGGAAGCTTTTCTTTGTGTGGCATTTCATGGGCTGCCTTATGACTGTTTCAGACTGCCCTGACTCAGTCTGCCTGCCTCTCTGGTCCTTCCCCTGACAGCTCTCCCTGGCTTTGAAACATGTGGAGGCAACAAATTCAATCCTTGAGGTGTAGTAGACTGGGGTGATGTCCAGACTAGCACATTAATTGTGCCCAGAAACATCCTTGGGTGTTGAAGCCAGCTGGCACTGAGCAGCTCATGTCTACCCTGGTGAATGTTTTATGCAGAGTGGCTGCACAAAACAGCCCTCTGGAGAACAGTCCCTAAGGTCCAAGCCAGGCCTGACTGCTGGGGGGAGCGTTAGGTGGCACAGGCCAAAATCATGCCAGGGAACGTGGTTTGCTTTTATGGGTGGTCATGCTACACTGCTTGGGGATATTCCAGGTCCTGCGAGACTTTACTAGTATGAATGCAGTCTGAATGTTTAAACATCTGCTGAGTTATTGTGGAAGATAAGATCAGTAACTAGGCGCCCAGTTCCTTTGCATGAATGGTTTCTAAGCACAAGAGGGCAATATTGAGTTGTTGAAAGCATCCATACTACCAGGTCTGTATTTTGACTGGGATATTATTTCTTCCTCAAATTTCCTTCTATTTCATCGCAGGTATTTCACTCAGATGCTATGGTGCCATGTGATATTAAAAACCTGATATAAATATTCATAGTCTAACTGTAGTTTTAATGCAGGAAACACCCTAATTTTCTGGTTTTCATATTAGTTTGCTAATGAGTCATATAACCTGCCACACTTAAGTTTTATTTTTAGGTAGAAGAAGAAGAACCAACCGGATACGTTCATCTGGAAAAATTTCTTCCAGTGATGACAAAAGTACTGCTCGACAGAAGGTAATGGAAAGTGGCTTTTCTGTGGCTGTAGTTGCATCGAGTTTGCACAGCCAGGTTTGGTAGTGGAGAGTGCATAGGGCTGGCTTCTGTGAACTATCACAGTAGTTTATTCCAGACTGGTAGGGTTGACTCTGATTAAATATATCTACAGTAATTTTATGTGACTGGAAGGAGTACAGATTTTTTTGTTTTTTAAACTCAGTTTAGATTAGCTTGATAGATTTTGTTTCAGAGTTACTTTGTCTACATAAAATGTTGTTGTACAGATGATATAAATAATAACAGCTTATAATAATGAATTGTGATAATACGTAGCTTTTTTATTTTTAGTGTGAATCAGAATTAACTTGCTATTCAACATGTTTTGTGCATCTGTGAAATATTTTGTATGCAATTTAAGGTCATAACCATTACTTTCTCTGAACATATGAGTTAAAGTTACTGAGAAGCAGTCTGTTACAGTGTATTTTTAATAAGTTGTGTAAATCAACTTCATTTCTCAAACTGACTGCCAGGTACAGTTGAATGTATACAACTAGCACTCTTAAAAGATGACCGATCTAAAAGTCTAGAACAATAATACTGCTCATTATTCAAAGGTACATAGAAATCTTTGCATGTACACAGGAACTTGTGCTATTTTGATATTTTGCACTAAAAGCAAGATTATTTGTAGGGAATTTATCTTTCTTTTTAAAGACAGCAGCCAAGGGTTTTGGGAGACTCAGTCTTGTCCAATACTGAGAAGCTACTTTGCACACAGAGGGCCTTTGGCAGGAGGGTGTTCCACACATGAAATAGCTATAGGATTTCCCAAAACTGTCTCACAGCATCCAGAGGCATCAGGCTGCACCCTGGGGCTGTGTTTGACAGTCTTTGTGCCTGTGCCTGGACACAGACCAGCGAGCAGTGTTTGGGTCCCGGCATCACAGGTGTATGGACTTCCCAGGTTTCTGCACCTTTGCCTTCTCTGGCCTTCATGGAACGTTCCTGGCTCCACACTGATGTTCACCTTTTCACAAAATGATACCTTGCTGCTCTGGGCTCTCTCCTCCTCCTCCACACCCTCTCCACACAAACATACACACACAACCCCCTCCCACTTTCCCCAGGCTAGTGCAGGCTTCTCAAGACCCACTTTATCTTTTGGGGCACTATGTCCATAGTTCACTTATCCAAGGGCAGAGATCCAAGATTTGGATCACAAAAAACAAGGCTGCTTCTTAGCACAGCTGATTTTTAGATAGCGAAAGAGTGAGGCGGGTCTGGACGAAACAATCAAGCAGTTAGAACCTCCAGGGCTTCAGTGTCTTCTCTTAAGTATTCTTGGGGATTGGTGAGAGTCTGCTGGGATATGGAAGGTCTCCATTGCTGCACAGGGTTTCCTTTCCAGCTCTGAAATCAGGCACACATATGGACATACACACATGCCCAGTTCCCCTGTCTCTTTGAAACTGTTAGTGACAGACCTTTTCTTTTATATCTACCAGCCTCCTTTGAGCATCATCAGCTCACTAGACTGTCAGAGTCCCACTAGGTGATCTTTTGTCTAGCTACCAGTGTACCTGGACAAAACTTTTCCTTTCTTGGTTTGGCTATCTTCTGTTCAGTGCATTGGCTATGAGGAATGACTCAGCTATTATTGATTCCTACTAACTTACTCAGCCAGCCCAGACAAGCAGAAACCATTAATCTGGCTCCTTAGCACAAGGAAAATTAAACAGGAGTACAATAAAAGACATAAGAAGTAATGATATGGACAGTTCCAAAAAGTCAAGCTGGAATTAAATGTTTGCTAGACAAACTTTTAAAATTCTCTTAGAAAATAAGTTTTCCCTTTCCTTTAGTACTCATATTTTCTTCTTTCAGAGTAGTACAGCAGCCTGGCAAGCAGTGACTTAACTTTTCTTATTCAATGGTTTCAGCTACCGGCCTATTCCAGAAGATGTTCTTCTACATGCATTTGAGGTCTGTAACTAAATATTCAAGTACTTAATTGCTGGAAAGAAGTTGCTGATTCTTGATTTAATATGGTTAAAACCACAAGTTTCATTCTTTTTCTTTAAAGGCTTTGGATGAGAATAAATGTGGATATATTACTAAAGAGGAGCTGGTCAAATACTTGACTGAAGAAGGTAACATGACTTTTGTGATATCAGTATTTAAGTAAATAAACAACATTACATGTGTATATGGTACCTTGATGTCCTCATTCTACATGCCAAAACTTGCCGTAGATACACTGTCTTCAAACAATACCGTTGCCATGATGAGTGGCTGCAGACTAGAACATTTCACTGGTGAATAATACAGGGAAAGAACATTTATCTGCCTACTCTCCGACATTATAAGATGGATATTATTATTATGAAGAGTCATAATTCAACCTTGTGTGGATATTTTATGATTCTATGTACATCTCTGTGCTTCCTAAGGATGTGACTCTTTTTCTGTCCTCCTGGAGAACTGTAGTTTAGATTTCCAGATGTTTCAGGTAGTTTCAGTGCTTATTCATTCCTGCATTATCTTGATCTTAATTCTAGTGCTGTATGCAAACAAAGAGATTCAAAGACCAGATTTAAGTTGTATATCACCTAATCCTCAATATCCCTTGAAGAGCCTGCTTTTCTTGCATGGCTGACTCATGCCTGCCTGCCTCAAGTGCAAAACGATGTGCAGGCTTTGTGCAAGAGCTATCCTCAAATGGAGACCTTGTTCTCAAACAGTAGGCCATCAACAGCTTTGAAGTTCCTAAAAGAGAAAAACCAGAAGCCTGTCATGATGTAAATACAAGTGAAAGGATAGCCAAATGAGAGATAATAATTTTAATGTACGTGTTAGAAGAATTTATTCTGACAAAAATAGTTGTTTCGAAATCTCTGTGACAGAGAGGAAGAAGCTGTTTTGGAGTCTGTGGAGTAGAAGGAGAGCAGAAGATCCAGGCCCTCTGTCTCCTTTCCTTTAGACCACCTGGCTTGGTGTGCAGAACTTACACTGGCAAAAGTGAAGGAATTGGATCCTTAGTATTGCTCCATTTCTCCTCTGCATGAGGAACAAAAGGAGATCCTTGCAAGGGAAAAGTGGTATCATTTGCCAGCCCTGAAAAGAATTCTTATCAAGATAAAGTGTTATTCTCTGCTGTCTTTCAGGTGAGCCCTTTACTCAAGAAGAAATGGAGGACATGCTCTCCACTGCTCTAGATCCAGAAACAAATACTGTTCGCTACAGAGACTACATTTCAATGATGATAGTAGATTAAAGTTAAGATCTTCCCCTTTAGTGTTTAGGATACTGTTTAGTAACAGCGGTGTAGCTTGGCAGTTAGTTGAAATATGTATTTTTAAAGTATAACAAAGCTCAGCTTGTGACCTTGTGCTTATAATTAAAATAAAATCTATGTAGCTATATTTCCTTGAGGTCTGTGTACATAATGAAATATATTCACACCTGGAAAAAGAGCTCTTGACAGAAATACTGTGTAAGGTCTGGAAAAGAAATCATGGAATTTGGTTTGAAAAATAACAGGAAAAATAATGTTAATGGAGTCAAGAAATTATTTTACAATTGCTTCTGAAAAACTAATGGAAAATGAGACCTGTGAAAGTGGGCAGTAAGTAGGTCAGTGAGTACCTTAACATGACTAAAGTTCTGAAGGCATGCTACTGAGATAAACTTTTTATATTTAAATGTAATCCCTGTTTGTGTTTAACTAATAAGGCACCAGGTAGGTAACTACTTTTGAAATAATATAATAGATCAAATACACTTCCTATGATTTCTAGTTTTTATCAGATATTTGTGCTTTGTTTACTGTAGGCAGTTAAATTGGACCAGTTAGTTCCATTTTATGTTGCTTATCCATTAGCACATGATATTTTGCTTCCATTTTAAACATGCAGGTAACACTCAAACCATTGCCACAGCCAGATTTACAAAGAAAGTAATCCTTGAGAACATTTCTGTTACTAAAGGCAATGAAGAGTTTCCCTTTCATAACCGGTTTGAAAGTCAGGAGCTAAAACTGTTCGAAACTTAGGATCGTAGGACTGGAATTTGATTTTCATAAACTGATGAAGCATCACTATTTGAAAGATATTAGTGTAGAATATGTGTCTCAACTACCCTTGCTAGAAGACCAGTGCACAGACCTCACTGCCCTTCTCATTTCTAGCTTAATCACTTTCTTGACTGTTACTGTACTGTTGTCCTTTAACTTGAGTTCGAGCTCTTTGCCCTCAAGTTTTTGCCTTGTACATCATCTTCTAACAAGTGACCAGCTGTTGTCCTCAACTGAGGAGGTCTCAGCTTGCAGGAGAAGATTCTGTGGTCTGGTCCCCAAGGGCACTGTCTTGCACTTTGTGCTCCATACCCTTGACCCCATTTCTGATTATCTGCTCTCTATCAGGCTTGGTGTCCTACCACTCCTCTGTCTTAATTGCATATCCCAGCTCTCTGTCATCAGCAAACTCCATCAGCTGATGACATCTGGGGAAGACTGACACACAGAGGCATTGAATGCCTTGCCCCCTGTCACGCCCTTCTAGGCAGAGCTGAAAACAGAGCACAGGGCTCCTCATATTGAGCCTTTTGCTCTACCCATTTCTTTCACTTGAGCTGGAAGCTCATAGGAGCTGCTTTCATATGCACCTGCAAGGGCGCTGCTACGCTGCACAAAGAAGAGATTACCAAGATCTAAATGTGGTGATGGAAGCAATCTGAAAGAGACCGTTTTTTGATTCTCTTTTTACTTCTCTAACCCAAGTTTTCTTTCACTGATATTTTCTTAAATAGTAAGGCAATAAAGACTTAATGCAGGTAAACATTATTTGCCTAGTTCTAAACTGTGTTTCCATCCCGAAACCATTGTTGCACTGGTCCTAAGACTGCAATGCGCTCTTGTTAACACATTTACTGTGTATTTCATTTCTTTGTCAGTAAGTCATTAGTATTATAATGTGTGAAGATACAGGTTTTTGAAGATTAAAGCAAGAGCAACAAAGGCCCATTAAGAAAATATATTTTTTATTAGTTTTCTTTAGTCCCTCTTTGGAAGCTGAAATTATTTTCCCTAGGTGAATCCTTCTTTTGTTTGATATACAGTGTGTGGTACTGGATCTCTAACACAGCTGGCATGAATACAATTTCATTCATTCTGTGCAGTCTGGGAGCCACTGTCAGCCTCATCTTGGATGTCAG